CAACAACCACAACAACAGAATACCCGATATACACAACCACAACTACCACAACTGAAAATCCAAGCACTCCATCTACAACCACAACCACAACGACAATTCCAGTTGTGACAACTACAACTGTAAATCCAGTTACTACCACCACAACAACTCCAGGTGTAACGACTACAACTGGACATCCAATTACTACTACCACAACAACTTTAGGTGTAACAACAACTACAACTGGACAGCCTGTTACTACCACCACAACAACTCGATATGTAACAACTACAACAACTGAACATCCAGTTACTACCACCACAACAACTCAATATGTAACAACTACTACAACTGGACATCCAGTTACTACCACCACAACAACTGGGCATCCAACTACTACCACCACAACAATTCAAGTTGTAACGACAACTACAACTGTAAATCCAATTGCCACCACCACAACAACTCGATATGTAACAACTACAACAACTGAACATCCAGTTACTACCACCACAACAACTCAATATGTAACAACGACTACAACTGGAAATCCAATTACTACCACCACAACAACTACAGATGTGACAACAACAACAACAACAACCATAACTATAACAACTACAAGTGAACCACCAAAATATGCAGTTTCATTAGTAATGGATTTGTCCAAAGTACCAAATATTGACCAAATGAAGGAAATCAATTTATCTGCAAATATTATCTATAGGAATTTAGTTGAGAGTGGAGTAAATACTGAAATTTTATCAGTTCCAATTAATGAACCAAATAGAGTTCAAGAACATACAAGTTTCTTGTCAACAATACAGGGATCTGATGACAATATGAGGGTTGATAGGTTGTTAACTATAGTTGCACAGCAAAATTCTGAAAGGATATTAAATGTTATTGCCCAGCAAAATGGTACTGATTCTCACCACTATTCAAAGCAAAGTAGCCATAAAAATAAGATCCTATTGAAGAGAAAAAAGATCGTATATATTACTGCAGGTTTTAATGGTTGTACTTCTGAAAAAACATGCCCGGGAATTGTGAGCTTGAAGAAAGACATTGATATCTACTTCATTTCGTTATCAAAAGATCCAAGCATGTATCACGAGATTGAATATATTTCATCTGAGCCTGTTTCAATGCATTCTATTATGATGAGCAAATCAGATCTGAGCAATGAAGCGACCCACATTTCTAAATGGATTAGAGATGAGTATAGGTTTAACAACCCAATGTTTTTGATGCCAAAAAAAGTCAAAAAAAATTTCAAGAATGAAGTCTGTAGTAAATGTTCCAAGAATGCAGAATGTTTCGTACATTCCATATTTGAAACAACACACGATTTAAGTAAATTTGAGTGTGTATGTTCTCAAGGATGGACTGGTGATGGATTCACATGTCATGATATAGATGAATGTAAAATGGCTAATTATTGTGGTAAATCAAAGTGTTGTATAAATACACCTGGAGGATTTGAGTGTAAAGATTCCAAGAATGGAAAGTGTTGAATTCGTCACTAGAAGAAAAATCAGAGTTCAAAAATTTCAAATAGTCAAAATCAAGTGAATGAATTCAGATCTTAAAATTACTGGATTATTATTCTAATTAAATGCCATAATAATTTGATTTCTGAAAACTATTGCGTAAGAATTAATTATATCACTAAAATTTTAAATAAAAATTCCTTAATATCATAAATTGGAACTTAAATATTCTAAATTAATGTTTTATTTTTTGGGTAACTATATATTATAATTAATGAGGATTTGTGTATACAAATGAAATTCAATAAGGGTAAATTATCTAATAAATCCCATATCGATCAAAATAATAATTATGTAAATATAAGTATATACGTTTTATGTAATGGTAAACATTAACTATGATAGTAATGATAATAGTGTGGGAAGTACTAAATATGATCTTAATCATAATATTAGTGATTCTGATATTTTGGTAAGTTTATTATATTGTTAATTTGAATACAGATACTCTCGGAAGTGCAACACTAATATTTTATAATTAATTAATGATAATTCAAACTAATTTCATAATATGTGGTCATGATTAATATCAGTAAATATTTATGTACATGCAAACTCTACTATAAAACTTTAGGCGGGAAACGATCTTAATAACAAAGGCCGAATAAATAATTAACAAGATTAATAAATGTTATCAGCATCTGAGTATTTTGTATCGTATGAAGAGGAGTTTTTGTCTGTGATTCAAGGGATAGAACGTTTAGTATTAAAATGTATGAGCGTTGAGGAAGGAGGGAGAGGGGAGAGACTAACACAGGATGAGATATCGGTATTGGAGCATCGATTTCAGGATGCAAGAAAATGCTTGGATCAGTTAAGAGATGAGGTAAGTTAGAGTTAAGCTTTATGTTAAAATATTTAAATTGGTTTATATATTATTTAAGGTAATGACATTATCTAAGAATTCAGTTGAATATCATTCATATAAAAGATACCAAAGAGTGTATGAAGATATATATAAAAAGTTCGACACATTTAGAGAGGAAAGTATGGTTAGCAGTTACTATTCAGACAAAGACTTGGATATGAATGTAAGTATTAGTGGTAATGATGGACAACATTATTTAAAACCATCAACAAAAGAATATAATATGGGAGTATCTACAGAAGATTTGATAAAGAGGAATGAAGATAATTTAAGGATATCTGCTCATCTAGCTCAAGAGACACAGCATATAGGACTTTATTCCTTGAATACTTTAACAGTCCAGAGGGATAATTTGACAAGAAGTAAATACGGTTTAAATAATATAGATTATAATATTATGGAGAGCCGTAAATTGGCAAGTACATTATATAAACAAAAAGTAATAGAGAGATTGTTGTTGTATTTTATTATATTTGTATTATTAATAGCAAATTTATATGTATTTTTCAGAAGGATTATTGGAAAAAAGTGAAAATATATGATGTGAAACAATGTAAATTCAAAAGAAAATCACAATATCTTGTGTATATAGTGAATTATTAGTATATAATTTTGTATTTGTTTAAACTTATTTGCAGGATGAATTAAATTTAATTATATAGCACCTCAGAAATAGTCTTTTATACTTTTCTAATAGAGTTTGGTGGTTTGAACTTGGAAACATGCTTTTTATTAATTTTTTGTTCAAGCATTGATATTTGCTTTTTATTAAGGTCTTTATATTTATCGTGTTGAATAGAAATATTGACATCTTTTCTTTTAAGGAAAAATGGTTTTTTCCCCGATTCAATTTTTGCTTGTTCTTGCTTTCTGTGTTGTGATATTGTTTGCTGTCTAAGAAAGAGGTTTTTTCTATGATCTTTTTCAGAAATTAGTTTTTGATATTTAAGTTTGAGATTGTCAATTTGATCTTGAGTAAAATGATTTATATCCGAGTTTTTGAATTTGGATGATTTTTTAACTTTACTCCATGTTCCAAGTTCTTTTGATTTGTTCATAATTTTGTATAAATCTAAGGTATTCTTTATTTGGTTAAATTCTTCTTGCCTAATATCATCTAAAAAAGTGTATGACTTTTGGAATAAATCAGTGTTTAGTTTTCCACAAGAATCATTGAATCTGGGATCATTATGTTTTTTTGAACCATTATGTTTATTTCTGATGTAGTTTCTTTCGTTTTCCAGCTTTTCCGGTAATATTTGTCTTCTAGAAGAAACTTCCATAGGAGAATTCTTTGAAACAATCCTCCCGTATTTTTTAAGCCTTTTATCAATTTCGTTGTTTTTCTCAAAATCATTGTGTAATTTATCAGACGTATTAGAATTCTTTTTTTCTGATTTAGTAGTTTTTCTTCTTTCCAATGATTCTGTGATCATCTTTTCTTTCCGTAAAATTTCCTCAAAAGGAATATCTTCAAAATCCATGGTTTTTTACTATTCAAAAAAAATTTTCCAATCTTAAAATAAGTTTTTAGGTTGAATTTTCCCTAGTCTGTCAATTTATTGTTGCATTATTACAATCTTAATTATACAAAGTGGCGCCAAAACAGGTACTAAGACTAAATTAATAAAACAAAACATGCAGAGCAACGGTATACAAAAAAAAAGAAAAAAACTTGGTACAATTAATTAATAAGCAGATATATAAGGAATTGAAGTAATACCAAGTAATAAAAATGTCTAATTAGTTGAATTAGCTCTTTGAAAGAGAAAGAATAATGGCAGATTGGGACTCAAGGTGTTGTTTTAGAGTGGGAAGAATCTGGTCGTTGGAATCAACATCTAAAACAATCTTAAGAGACTCAATAATATTGTGAATATTTGAAGAATTCTCTTGGAAAGACTGAATCTGAGGCTGAGTGTTTGAAGTTTTCTTTGACTGATTGATATTAAGTAAGTCAGTAAGGATCTTAAGACATTCAGTTGGAGAGGTGGTTTTGTAATCAAGGCTCAACGTGGCACAAATAGTTCTAAAGAACTTTTTAAAATCTCTAAGCTGGATATAAATTGAGTTTGATGCTTGTATGACATCTTGATCATCAAGCACATCGAAAAGAGTCTTAAAGTGGTTGTAGAAACGATCATGAAGCTCGATAGAAATGACTTCTTGACTGTTGTTCCGAGAGGATATTTTTTTCGAAGATGCACTTTCAAAAATATGGGTAATTTTTGGGGACTTTGAAGTGTTCTTTTTGGATAATAACTCTCCGATTTGAATGGGGATACTTCTGAAGTTAGATATATTAAGTAATCTGCAAGACCACCTTATTATACTCTCCAACTCAGATTTTTCAGTATTTTGTAACATATAAAGACCTCTATTCCAGAGGTTCTTATCTCTTTTCATTAGCTCGCTTGTGGAAATATTATTCTCTTGGCAAAATTCAAAAAAAGATTTCTCAGAAGCGGTATCTCTTGAATTTCCCAGATCAGTTTCGTTGCTTTCAAAGGATGTCTGCCCATTCTTTGAGTCAGAGTTTAAGTTCTGTTGATTGTTTGCTTGCAATTTCCAATAGTTGATAGACTTTTCAAATCCTACAATAACCGAATAAAGATAGTGTGACTGGAGAATCTTCTTTTTTTCCACAGTTGTCAAGGCCAATTCACCATCTTTGTTTCTATTATTTGTACTCATTTGACTTAGCATAATAGCTCTATTGGATCTTTTTTCATTTTCCAAGCTGTCCTTGATAGATCTTAAAAACTGATCTGCTTTGTCCCTGGACTTGTCATCATCCTCTTGTAGTTTTAGAATATCCTGCTTTAACCGGCTATTTTCAACAAGAAGCTGCTGTTTTTCTCTTTCCAATCTACTAATCGTAGAACATTGAGGAGTTTCCCTACCTTGAGCCCTGCTTCTATTAGCATGCTCCTCCTCTGTTAAAGCCCTATTTATCATTCTGAGAGATTCATTCTCCTTTTCTAATGCTTCATATTTTCTCCTTAAAAGGTTTAGCTTTTCAATTAACCCATTTTTTTGAGATCTTTCAGAGTTTATAGTCTCAACAGAGCGTTCACCTCGAGATTCTAATTCGTACAGTAAATTGTGAATAGTTGAAATAAGCTTGTTCCCATCAACTATTAGTCTTTGGTTGCTTTCTATAGATTCAGATTGAGCTGTCAAGGGGACAGAATCTGATTGATCATTTGCAAAAGAAAGTTCTATGCTTGACCCTGTTCTTAAATCTCCAGAAGGTTTTATCACTGGTTTGGAACTATAATTAGAGGGTATATCAAAGGGAAAATCCATCTTATTTCTCTCAGATGTTATATGTTCTCTTATGATTTCTGGTGCAGAATTGGCATTCTGGCCCTTTTCAAATGAGTTATCTCTTTCAGTACAAATGCCATGTAATATAGAACCTACAGTTCTTAAGTCATCAGTGTTTAAGCCAGAGTATTCAGAATCAGTATACTTACGAACACCAGGAGTAATTTCCAACTTATCATTTTGCCTCTCTGGTTCTCTAATTTGTGCAAGAGTCTGAGGCGTGACCACATCATTCAGATTTTGAGGGATAGTTGAAGTTTGAGCAAATTTCTCCGATAATCTCACTCCAGGATTCGTGTATCTTAAATAATCCGTACTTTCATTGCTATTCTCTTCTATTTGATCTCTGTTCAGTATAAAAGATCTTGCAGGAGAAGTTAAATCAGGAAGAAATGGTATAGACAAAAATCCATTAGCTCTAAGCCGATTATTTAATCGAATAAATTGACTTATATTGGCATTCCCAAAATCCTCTTCTTTTGAGTACATGTTACTTTTCTATTACCCTAGTTCCTTCAGTAGATTCTCTCTCAAAACAGAATCAAAGAGTGCCACTACTTTACCCTTTCAGTAGAAATTTTCCACACACATGAATACTCCATCAATTCTTGAAAAAAAATTCTTTGTTAAACCAACATACAAATAGTCTCACTTTTCCCTCCAATACTCAAATCTATCACCCCTCCTCACAATATAAATTTACGTTACTCGATAGGCGCCACAGATGTGGCGCCACAAAAGATGCATGTATTAACAATGTAATTATTTATGATTAAAAATTAGGAAATTTGAGAAAGAGAAAGAAGTTGATAATATATGATAGAATAACCTATAAAATATCAACAGGGTTGTTTAGGGTTGCATTTGCTTGGGTAAATGTGCATTAAAAACATTGATGTCACAATATTTCGAAAGTCCTTGTAAATATAACTTTAAATATTCAATTAGCATTAAATAAATTAGCTTCAATATCTTCAAGTGATGAAATCTGTATCAGTGCATCTGATTTAGATCCAATTGACGCTAGGGGATCATTTAAATCTGCTTGGAAGTGATTCATAGCTTGATAGAATTTGACTCTGTCAGAAACAATATTTAAGGGGCGATGAATAAATTCGTAATCAGTTTCAGCAATTTTGAGAGCCCCTTCAATAGAGTTTCCGAGTTTGTTATAAGACTGTCTCTCTTTGAGTGATGTTACAAATCCGGTATCATCTATATCCCAATTAGAACTATTATAAAACTGTCTGGAAAGCTCCCTAATTACAGATTCAAAGGAGGGAGTAATTGATGATTCTTCAAGAGATTCTTGAGCAAGAGCTCTTTCGTCAACTAATCTAAAGATTTTCAAAAGTGCGTCTTTCTCTCTTGCAGTAAGAGCGCATGATGTACTAATATCATAAATTTGTTGAGGAGATTCGTATGACCAAATAGTCACTCCAGAAAGTAGAAATCCACGAACAATAAGCTGTGTAATTTCAGTGTTTTGATTATTGAACCTCTTCATTTTGTCCGAGAGTTGAGGTAGAAGATTATTGCACCATTGAGGTCTACAAAAGGATTGGAGAAGAGATGTAAAAACTAACTGTCTCATTCTATCCATAAGCGGAGCTGCATATATGATTGCATATACAATAGAGTCTTTGGCCTGATCTCTATCAGGGTCGTATAACAGATGTATTCTCTGCCAGATTGATAGCGATGAACCACAAAGCAGAGCAGAAACCAGCAGTGGATCGCCTTTATTAACATTGGAAACTCTGTTGATTATTCCATGTGTTTTAAGGCGTTCATCAAGCAACTCATCGTTGTTTATTGAAAAAATATCAGATTTTGGAGGGGCAAAAGAGGGAGCACAAAATGCCTCTTTAATAAATGTTGCTCTATCTCTTCCTGAGTCCATGATTAACCCACCAAGCTGATTAATTGTCATTTTAAGTAGCTCCACACACTGTTCATTTTCAGAGCTACTCACATTCCCTCTTCTAAAGTTATTGAGTTTGAGCTTACCCTCTTCAAAGTCATTTTTAATTGCAAACAACTCTCCAAAAATTGCTGTTAGAATTAATGCTCTTTGTTTATGCTGGTTCACTGATTTCGGGTAATATTCCATGATGTTGTGAAGTCTAAGAAGGGAAAATAAATGTGATAAGTTAATGTCATCTACACAACAGGCTGCCAAATAACTCAGTATTCCGGGCGTATAAAAAGGAGACATTTTTTCGATCATTTCTTTCATAAACTCCCTCATTGAACTGCTTCCAAGTAGAATATAATTCTGGAATGTTGCATTGGACATATCAACATTTCTATAGTCAGTTGATATGTGTAGAAATCCCATTTGCTTACACTGGTCTAGTAAGTCGCATATTCGATGTAAAAGGTACTCATATTCACTTTGCCACTGAAATAATACCATATTTGATTACTATGGTTATTCTTGGATAATTAATTAGTTACTAAATTACAATTAAACTTTGGGGTTTTTTCAACATTATGTGTGTACACACACCCAAGATAATTTAATTAATGGACCAGAGACGATTTTTTTTTTCTTCTTTTTTCATAATTATTAGCTTGAAACAAAAATAGGAATAATATGAAACCCACATAAGAATTACTCTTCTAACTGACATAAAAACCTAAATTGAGTCTTGATTTTGTTTAACTCTTCTTTACTATAGTTCTGGGTCCAGTTTGTCTCTCTTATATACTCAAGTATAGAGTTAATCTTCTCAGATGTTTGGATGTGGCACACATTATTGTAAATATAGTCGGTAGTAAATGCCCTAATATTGGGATATTGATGAGAAACTAAGTCTGAAAGAGACTCCATTGCTTCCCGAGCAAGCTCATCATCATCTAAGATTTGAATACTGAAAGAAATATGTACCAGGACAGCGGATGAAATCTTAATTAGTTGAAAATCTTTAGTAATTCTTAAAACATGTAAAATTGTGGTCAGAATTCCTCTCATTACAGTTTTTTCATGCGGGAAAATTCCCCAAGTAAACAATACTAAAATAAATTGTAGCACATGCAAAGTCATGCATGTACAAAAAGAAGCGGCATCTGGTTTGCATGAAGAAAGAAATTTTAAAAGCATTTCAATATTATTAAAAATTGAAAAAGTAGTTTCAGAGAGCTCACCAGCGGATTTTAGGAAGATATTTAGCTCATAGTTGATAGCTTGGTAGGGGTTAATTGATGAAGATGATGAACTCATGGAAGAAGAATGGTTGATCCAGTTAATTAACCCAAGTAAGACTGACTTTTGTAGTTCTTCTTCAAGAATAAATGGAAAAAGACACTTTTTGAATACATTTGAGCTTGAATTTGACAAGATTTGGAAGTTTCTGTTTGAAAGACAAAACAAAAATTGGTTTTCAAAGTCGAGATATGGAAGTAATGAATGTGGGATTTTTTCAATGGAATCCAACATGTCAAAATAATAGCATCCTGAGTTAAATGGATTATCTTTAGCACCAAAAAATGTATTGAGCTCTTCAATATAGTTTTTGCTGTGTATTAATATATAATCTTTGAGTACGTCATTTAAAATAAGTTGGCAAGATTCAAAGAGTTTATATTTTATCGAATTACTTTCATTCAAATTTTGTAACTTAATTTCTGGCATCTCTTTAATCTGGCAGATTTCAAAAAGTTCAAAGGGAATACCATGAAAAATGCGGTAGTAAATCCAGTAGATATTTATCTTAGTATATTTGATAGAACCCAATTGTTTAAAGTTTGAATCTACAAAATTCAAATATAACAACTTCCAAAGTAACAAAATTGCCTTAACTCTAAGCTTGTCAGAGTAGTTAAAGATATTGAATATAAATGCAGAAAGAATTTTTTCATGCTTTGGATCGTCTTTAAATGAATTATTAGAATAAAGGCATGCTAAAGTTTCCATTGAAATCTCCCTGATCCATGAACCAACATCACCTCTTTTGTCTGTAGAATAGTCAAAGCACCCCTGAACAAAGACATCGTGACATAAATTTAAAATAGTACTCTTTGAAGAAATTTCAACATTTCTCATACAATAACAAACAACTCCTAATGACCAAATTGAGTTCCTTCTGCATTCAACATCGTACTTTGATGAAAAAATATAGTGGTTAAAAGATGAACTGGACTCAAACAAAGAACATTCTAGACTATCTTCGTTTCTTAAGATTAATTTACCTCTATTAAATATTCCAAATAAGCAGTTGACAATATCATTAATCAATTTCTCATCAATAAGGTTCACTACATGAGGAAATATAATACCAATCGAAAGAATGATTCCTCTAAGAGCCATAATATGGATATCCGGGCTTTCAGAATTTAAGGCCTGGACGAAGTCTACCAATATTTTCTGTATTTCAAGAAACTCTGAAGAATTCCCAGTTTTTGTCATCCTCCATTTTATGATTGCATCTAAAGCAGAACATCCAGAAATCTGAATTGAGAAACTTAAATGTTTAATTGATTCGCAAATAGTTTGAAGAAATCTGGAAAATGTTGCTTTCTTAAACGGAATAATTTCAGTAGATCTTGATAAAGAAATGATCAAGTTTAGAACTCCTTTCCTTGTTAAGTCACCTCCTTTGCCTCTATATAATCTATTCTTCTCTATTAAAATGGGGATATTTCTAATGTAATCACTCCATGTAAATTCCATAGGAATATTGTTTGAGTTTGAATTCCTGGAAATAGGTAGCTCCTTAATAAAACCAGTATTCGCATTTTCATCCTTATTTATAGTTTTTGTTAGTAAATTCCAAAATGGGATATTTTTAGATTTGAGTATTAGTCCTTTTGAAACAAGGACCGAAATGATGAGTAATGAAGAGTGTCTAAAAACACTATTAGAGCTAAAAACATTTAAATCCTTATTCCAGTTGCTCAAGTTCAAAGAATTATCATTAATACTGTTCAATTTTGAAACAAAAGGAAGAATATTGAAAAAGCATAAGTGATGGCAATAGGGAACCAGCTTACTTAAAGCAATTGTTGATAAAAGCCTGAATTTAATATTTGGATGAATAAACACATTTTGGACAAGATAATCGGAAAGGATTGTTGCAAAGGGATATATTAAATCTTCTGATCCTTCCTGACAGCCATATTTTTGAGAGCTGTAATTTGGTGAAGCATGTGATCCCAAATCATTCTCATTAGTCGTATCTAAAGCTCCAATTCGAGTTGAAATCTCAAGAAACGAAGACTTTAAAGATGAAATGCTAAAGAAGTCAGCAATTGTTACAATTGAAATTCCAAATGATATATTTTCACCTCCCAATCTACCTATTAACTCTTGGAGTGCAGCACAAGACGACCTTCTCCCATTAATCTGTGAGTCAAAAACTGTTAGAGGTATAATTGATGATATTATTTTATTAGAATAAGGTCTTAAAGCTTGAGGTGGCACCCCTCTTGCTAAGCTCCAAATTATATAGCATGCTGAATCACGTATTTGTACTCCAAAGCTTCTTGTTCCAATCCAATATTCATAATTTAAGCAATATTGAAGAAATTCTAGGATCTCAGGTAGATAATCTTCAAATACAAAAGTTAGACGTGCTCTTAGAAGTTCGGCAATTGTGAGACATTTTCCTTCCAATTCATTAGGAGAAAGCTCCTTAAATATTTTAATTCTTTCAACATTTTCTTCTTTTTCATCATTATTTAGCATTAGAATATCATTAAGCACTCCTTTAGCTTTATAATTACCCTGAATTGCACTTAGAATCTTTGCAATACATTTTGAACTCGTGTGTCTTAAAAGGTTATTTTCACTTTTATTTTGTTCAATTAGAAATTTCAAAGTCCAGTCAATAACATTTTCAAAATCTGAAAAGTATTTTAAAAGAAGATCACTCTGAACACACCTTATTATCAACCTTGTAATACATATTGTTCTACAGCTTCTAGATTTATAGGAGTTTATATCATACTTATTTTGAGGATTCTGAGAATTCTCAAAATCATTTTTATTTGGAATATTTAGGTATCTAATAATCTGGTCAATGAAAATCTCAATACTTTCAATTGGTCCAAGCTTGATTAGGTATTTGATCCATATTAAAATCCCGAGAGAGTTTGGAGTCTCATCCATTCCTTTACTCAAAAGAGGCTTAAATTTATTGTTATCATTTTTCCAAAGTAAAGTGAAATCAGTCCTACAAGTAATTTTTGCGAATACAATAGAAGCTGTTTCATTTGTAATACAATACTTATTCTCTAAAATCTTAGGAATTACATTTTCAAGTATTCTCAGAAAAAGACTATTTTCTTTTAACATGTATTTAGAATCAAGTACTTCAAATGAAAATGGTATCAGAACCAAAGTAGAGAGCCAAACATATAGAATATATATAAAATGCCAATTGTCTTCTTCACTGTGATTACTCAGATTTCCAAATCTAGTATCCAAATTAGGATCAATACTAGAATCCGAGATTTGTTTAGAATTCAAAATGTCTTCGCATTCTAGATTTATCTGGTACTTTTCTCTTAGGGAAATATAATCTATCACAACCTCCAAAAAATTAACGTTACTGGGAAAGTAAAGTGAAATCACCTTTGACCCTCTAATCTTACAAAGATTGTAAATACAATCCGAAAGTCGAAGAATATTTTTCTGATGTTTTCTATCAATATTAATATCTAAATTTTCAATAATACTGAGCCCAGATTCAGAATTAGTGTTAACATTTTCATCCTGAGTTTTACTTAATGACAATATTGTATTATGTAAAACCAAGCTGTTATTTTCAAGAAATTCTGCTATACAATTAGCAAGAGGAGAGCAAAGTTTTTCTAAGTAGGTGTCCAGTACATATGGTTGCTCCTGATACTTGTCAATTTTTTTGAAAAATTCCTTAGTGGTCTTTTTATATTCACTATATTCAATATCTTTGTAGTGTACCAGCTTCCCATGAATCAAGTCGATTAAATCATTGATATCAGAAAGATAATCATTTTCATTTGAGTAGCTTAACATTTCTCTATGGTTCTCATCTTCCACACAAACTATCTCCATTACTTTATTTAATGCTTTGTTTAATTAAAAAAAGATCGAAAATGTTTTGTAGAGTTTGACTCCGTTATTAAGAAAAAGGCTCAAAATATTGAAGAAAAGTATAAGCTCATTAGAAGCATCTAAAGAAGCCTTTTAGAGATTATCTTTTTTTAAGCCCTACAATATATTTTATTTGCCATACTCTTAATAAAATCAAGTGCAAGTTTGGCGCCTGATCAGGCAAATAAAGGTATCGTGTAAATTATTTTTTTGAGATTATTGAGAAAAAGAAAACACGAATTTGATGTTATGAATGAGGTTTTAGAATAATAAATTACTTAAGAATTGAATTAATATAAAAAATCAGAAAAATTAGAAAGGAAAATACTCGCATTTGCATAATTAAGAAAAGATGGGTATACTGGAGAGAATTTCAGATATTGAGGCTGAAATGGCCAGAACTCAAAAGAACAAGAAAACAGAGTATCATTTAGGACGTTTGAAGGCTCAACTGGCGAAGTTAAAAACGGAATTAATAGAGGCAGGAAGTGGTGGTAAAGGCAAAGGAGAGGGGTTTGATGTTGCTAAGCAAGGCGATGCTAGAGTAATATTAATAGGGTTTCCATCTGTAGGTAAATCTACATTGATGCATGAATTAACTGGGACGGAAACGGCAGTTGCAGCATACGAATTTACAACTTTAACCTGCGTTCCAGGTATAATGAAGTACAATGAAGCTAAGATTCAACTTTTGGATTTACCTGGGATTATTGAAGGAGCTGCTACTGGAAGAGGTAGGGGACGCCAAGTAATAGCCGTTGCTCATTCGGCTGATTTGGTATTGATGGTAATAGACTCAACAAAGGATGATTCTCAAAGAAGAAAGCTAGAGTATGAGCTGGAGGCCATTGGAATTAGGCTAAATAAGAAACCACCACAAATTGTTGTTAAACCAAAGAAAATCGGAGGAGTAACCTTCAACTCAACAGTGCCTTTGACTCACTTAGATAATAAAATGGTAGTTAGCATATTGAATGAGTATAAAATCTATAATGCAGATGTCTTAATAAAAGAAGATTGTACAGTTGATGAGTTTATTGATTGTATTGAAGGTAATCGACGATATGTTCCTTGTTTATATGTTCATAACAAAATTGACAATTTAAAGTTAAGTGAGATTGATGAGTTAGCACGCCAGCCAAATAGTGTTGTGATTTCATCTCAACAAAGATGGAACCTGGATACACTGGTAGAGCAAATTTGGAACAAACTAGGATTGGTTAGACTATATACTAAGAAAAAGGGTGAACTCCCAGATTTTTCAGACCCACTAATTCTGACTCCTCAACGAGGTCTAATAAATGTAGAAACTGCAGTAAAATTAATTCACAAAGACTTAATTAATGAATTCAAACATGCTTTAGTCTGGGGAACTAGTGTTAAGCACAATCCACAATGTGTCGGATTGTCTCATAAGCTTCAAGATGAGGACGTAATCCAACTAGTAAAAACAAGATAAATTTGAAAAATGGATATCATAATATAATAGATAAATAAACTATAGGATATAAATTGCTACTCTACTAATTGTTTGAATGACTTTCTCATTCTACATATAAATTGCCTAAATGAAATAGACTTTGAATTCAATAGCTCAATGTTAGATTGAAAATCTCTAACTTGTGGGTTGGACCCAACCCCTTCAAAGAGCTGAGCTTTCTCATTGTAAAACAAATCAAAATAAAATTCTTTGTCTGGGGAACCTTCGTCTAAACAGGTAAAAGTAAATCTATTACTGCCGTTTACCTTCCCAATATTTAGTCCCAAGTTTTCACTATAAATTCTACAGCTTTTCTCTCTTTCCAAAGATTGTTGCTTAGCTACCCTTAAGTCTGCCTCATAAACCAATTTTTCTTGTTCAAATCGTTGTCTATCTTCCTGAAGCTGTCTCTCTAGCCTTTCTACTTTCTCTGAAAGAGCATTAGCATTGGTATTAAAACATTTCTTAAATTCCTCCTGTTCAAATTCAACAACTTTCTTGATTTCTGATAATTCTTGGGAATCTTTAATTCGCTTTTCCAATCCATCAATCCGAATACTTGAGTCCTTAATCACATTTATATCACGGGAAACCTGATCATTCAGCTTTTCCACTCCCAACTCTAGCATTCCATTAATTCCACTAGACCATTCGAGAAGCTTGCTCTTTAGGTCCTGGATCTCTTCACTAATTTCATTTGATATGATTGAGTGTGATTCCATAGGTTTTTATCCACTACTTCAATAATTTAATCTTGATCTTTCACTCAAATTATTGACATTATATTAATAAAATTATTAAATTTGTTTGAATTTAAATCCTATTAAATTCAAATTTCTTTTCTCCAGTAATTTTTTTATATACTTATTGTGGGGTTTTGGCGCCAACACATGTGCATGTTTTTTGTTTGACTAAATATTAACGGGAATATAAGTGGCGTCAGCTGTTGCTTTTCTATTGCTATCAAAATGTTTAAGGTTAGTCTGTCTAGAAGATCTGGTTCCGAATTGAACAGCTCTCTTTTTGAATTTGGAAGAAAATTGAATTCCCAACTTATTAGCAATAAATCTTAACAAGGGTTTGGTAACTTCAAATTTCGAGCCACAAATATTCTCAAAACTCAATTCTCCAATTGAATTGATTACAAGTGGATGTAAGAATACTGCAAACAGCTTTCTATTATTGAATAAGGCAAGCCTATAGTCTCTTCCGAGATTTCGGATCCACAATCTATTAATATCGAAAAGCATTTCTTTTTTAATACCTTCTGAGCCATTGTGTTTTTTAGCTGTGATATGTCTACCGTACCCTCCAAGAAACTCATCAGCTCCACTTCCTACAATTAAAAATTTGGATTTTGAATTGTATAATAGTTTGCCATCTTCAGTAGTAATGAGACCTTTTACATACTCTTGTTCTTGTGGAAACAAAATTTTATTGATATTGGTTTCACACAAGTAATAATTTTTTGGATCAATGAACCTTTGAGTAGACGGGATTTTACTAAAATCTGCTGTCTTCATTTTGTGAACTCTACATGCTGGGGAGCTCTCGCCAATTGGTTTAATTAAATTTTGTTGGATTTTTCTGCAACATGATTTACAACATTTATTTTCGCATTTAGAATGTTCTCTGAAAGAACAATATGGACATTTTCTTTGAAAATTAAATTCGTTGTTGCATTCTTCAAACTTGTTAACTTTAGGAACTTTAATGAAAGTTTCTGAAAAAGGAGATTTCTTCTCAAAAACCCCATTCCAAATGTTTGAATTTTCATTTTCTGATATTATTTCTTGCCACCATTCTTCTTTAAAGCTTTCTTTATCGGCTAATATCCCTTTTCCTCCTAGTGCAAAAAATAAGGCACCCCCAATGTTAAAATCCAGGTGAGTTCTACATGGAGATATGCATTTTAATATGTTTTTTTCTTCTCTAGTCAAACTATCGCCTGGATTGTCTACGCATATTAGTCTAATTGAAACATTTTTATATTTCCATAGGTAACTCTTGAATAGATCCAAAATCTCGTAATAACTGGCTAGACCGGTTAACCTATCCGGTGCTTCACTTGGAGCAAAACTTGTATTAATTAATTCAACAATGAAGAACAAATTATTTTTATTAATTTGAACTTCTGCAAAATTTTCATTGGAAAAGAATCTCTTTATAATATCGACTCCCAAATTTTCCAAGCTTGAGAACAACCACTCTAATAGCAAGTATAATAATACCGTAGAATCTAGGCCTCCTGAAAATAACATACCCATATATACAAAAGCTTTGTCTTCAAATAACTCAAATGTAAGTCTTTTCTCCATTTCTCTTGCAAAAACTAACCTAAGTGACTCCAAGAGTTTTCTCGAATCTTCCTCTAATGATTCTAATGTTTGTTGGCCTTCTTTACCCCAATAACTGGGAGTCATGTAAGGTGGAGTAACTTCCCATGGATAAAATTCAAATTCTAATCTTGATAAATCAAGTGAAAACATACCAGTGACTGGTACTTCTATTGACTGAACATCCTCTTGAAAATTCAGAAGTTCGCTTTCTATATTAGATATAATTAATTCTTTCCCTTTACTACCTACACTGATCAGTAGGCTTGAATCTCCAAGCCTATCCCTTCCAAATACCAAAAATCTCTCTTCTTTGATTCTTATATAAGCTAGACAGCTAAAGCCTTTCCCTGTTTCAGAATTAAACTTACTAAGAGCATAAACCAGCTCAGATACTATATTTTTTATTGAAGTTATCTTTACTAAAGCAATTCCTTTAAGCAATTCTTGAAACTGATCATCCTCTATTACTCCATCAATAAAAATTCTCATGGAAGATTCACCACCGAAAAATAACATTTCAGTTTTTAAATCTGGATTCTTTGGATTTATTATGTAAAAAGTTTCTTGGTCCAGTAGAATCAACTCATTTGATCTTTCTGTATTTCCCTTCTTAAAATTTGTTTCACATTTTGATATATTTAAGCATACATCAAATATTCCCAATTTCTCTTCATTAAAGATTTGTCTCTGACATCCATCGCATGTTTCAGGAGAAAATAAGCATTCTATCATTACAATTTATCCTTTTACTCTTGCTTATTATTATAAAAATCAGGTTAGACTGGTTTGGGTTTGGCGGGCCCCATTCAATTTTATCTAAAAAAATGTACATATAGGCAATAAAATGTATTATAAGAACAAAAATATATTAATAAATTGTAAATTTATGATTTTAATAGATTCTAGGATTGATTATAAGCAACAATTTTAAGTTTGAGTCTTTTTTTTTAATTAATGGTCATTGTTCTCGACCTAGGTATCAAATTTGCACTTCTGAATCACGTTATTACTTTTCCTCACCTACATATTTACTATTATTTTCATGATATTTGATAACAGAAACACCTTTAATGACACTGATTGACTTACTCTACTTTATTTTGATCTGCTTGATCATCTTCATCAGCTTTAATTTCTTCATCTGATTTGTGCTGCTCATTTGAATCCGTTTGAGATTCTTTCAAGCTAAGCTTTTTAAATATAGAGCTAAGATCTAAATCATATTTTTGTAGGTAAATGGGAGATCCTGAGATTTGACGCACTAGGATCTCCGATCTTGAGTTTATTTCACCCTTCAGAATTGAAATTAGCTGCATTGCGCTTCCTTCTTCCTTTTTCTCTTCGTGTTTCATGGATTTTTCTATATTCTTGATTGATTCCTCTAATTCACTTATACTTCTTTTATTCTCAGCTGTTATTAAGGATTCCATCTCTGCAATTTGGACTGTAAGAGCAAAATTTCCTTCAAAGAAAGATAATAATAAATTAAATAGGTTTTCATTTCTATTATTATCAACCATTTTACGTTTTAATATATTTAATTTAAGCTGTTCTGAAGGTGAATTATCTTGTTTAAGTTCAAAAGATTCCAGACTTTTCTGTATTTCTGAACGGTTTTGGAGTGTTAGATTCTGTGATTCTTTTATCATAGTAGTATATCCTAACAAAATAGTTAATGTTTCCCAAATCTTGTCATATAATTCAATAATTCTTTCAGAAAACTTGAGTGAAGTTGGTGAATGTATCTTTCCTGATTCGAATACCAATTCATGCAATCTTATGTATGACTTGAGCAACAAATCTTTACATGGAGTTAAACAATCTTGAACAAGACCATTAATACTTAAATATGAACTCTCTAAAAACATTTCTGAATCTTGCTCCAAAATTGATGATTTATATAGCACAGTTAACTCATTAATAATTCCAAAGCATTCTAACACGGAAGAATAAGCACTCATAGTGATTGCATGTAATTCATACTCATCTTTAGGTGGGATTGAATCTGAAATTGTTTCAAAATCCTTAGTAAATGCACTATAAAAATGATCAAGAGATTCCATCCAAGAAAAAAGTGATTTAAGAGTGGGAAATCTTAAACTAGACTCAACCAAAAATTCTCCTGGTTTTTTTTCCAAGCTGACTTTTGTACAAGTAGAGATTTGGCTTGACTCATTGGGGTTTTGAATTTCCTCTGCAGATACAAAAATCAAACTTATTCCCAGTAATATAATTACATATATATATCGAAATAATATAGTTCTTTTCCAAACAACCATTATTTTGCATACTTTTATATTTCTGCATGTTATCATTAATTGTGCGCCAACGTGATCTAGAGAATCTAGGTAAAAATATAAGTTAATAAAGTAAAGAAATAATAATTATATGATAAGAAAGAGGAAGAGTAATCAGCCTATTTCTATTGTTTAAATAGATAAACAACTGGGTTTATTTGTGCGTTTTCACTGGTGTTTTGACTGTATAAGCTTTGGGGAGTTCTCCCAATAGACTCACTTTTAATAGTTTGAGAGTTATTAGGATTTTTATAACTATTTTGATTAATTTGGTAGAAACCTCCAATTTTGCTAATTCTACCTTCATCAACAGGTCTGCTTTCTTTGTTCAAATTTGTTTTAGTTTCTGAAGACTTCTGAAGATTTTCATTTTGATTAAATATTTGTTCATCTCTAGTTGGTTGTGCTTTTATATGGGGTATCTCCTTGATTTCATGTTTATTACATAAAAATATTTTTGAAAAAGAGGATCTTTTATTATGAATAATATTTGAGTAGATATTCGTCAGTAATGTAGTATATTCTTCCCTTAATTGCTTTTCAGGATGAACCCAGATTTCTGTATGTATAACTAAGTATTCTTCACTGGTAAAGGGGTCATTTAACTGTTTATATGTAAATTCTGGAATATCTATAGACGATTTTGGAATTTTTATAGATCTTGAAAGTTCATCTTCAAGTAATGCGAATGCTTCTTTCTGGTTTATATGAGGTTTTATAGTTCTTAGATCCATTGTAAATATTATAGGTAGTGTTCGAAGAGATTTTCCATCATAGGTGATTTCTTTCTTTTTTTTCTCCTCAGATCTATCTGCAATTATTTCATTGCTGATAGATTTTGATCCTATATTTTTTGAGATTGAAATTAGATAAAATTCAAAGATTTTGCTAAATTCACAAATTTGAGACTTCAAATTCTTTACTTTGCTAATGACCTCATCTGGTACGGAGGTTATAATATTTACAGTAACTCCGATAGATCTAGAGTTGGTTCCTCTTAAAGCTGGATTTTCTTCATTCCAAGTATTAATAATTCGAAATTTATTAGTTAATATATTTAGAGCTCTTGAAAGAGAATTGATAAATTTACTTTCGAAGTTACGTTTGTAATTTTGATTGTTAAGAGATTCAAAGCTAATGTTCTTGAGCTCCAGGTTTACAGTAATTGAATCCACTTTTGGCTTTGAAACATCTGTATGAATATTATTATTAGAAACCGAATTTTTTGTATTCCATGGGGTTTTTTGAGAATTATTTTTATCAATGAGGTTTGAATTAACTTGGTTAATTTCCTTATTAATTGAATTTTTATGATTAAGCTCATTCAGTCTTGATTTATCATAGATATGTTCATTATCTAAGTTATTTATTACATACTTATTAGTTGGAACAGAGTGATAGTATTGCATTAATTCATTCTGTTCAAAATTTATCTGATTTTTAGGTGAATTTTTTGAAGTTTCTTTTTTTTGTGCATTTACATTACTGCTTCTCCCTCCAATACTTCCATGTAAAGGTGGAAATGGAACCTTGTCACCATGATTAGAATTTGGATTATAACTTCTTGATACTCTGCTCAAATAAGCATCATTCGCATGGTTAGCTTCAGTATTTTCATTATTAGTCAAGCCTGGAAAGTTAAAATTGTTATATTGACTTTGGAGAGCTCTGTATTCATCTTTTGAGTCAACCAAAGAGTAAATAAAGGATCCTTTACAACTACATGTAGTTTCATTTATTTTAAAATCCAGAAGATTTTCACAAAATTCTCTACTCCATATCTCAGTTCCATTTAAAATACCCATACAAACGAACCCATTTGATAATCTGTTTGATTTTATTAAAATTTCATTTTCTGTTTCATTAGTGACTATTAATAAATTCTGGTCCTTTATTTCGTTATTTTCTTCATTTGAATTCAATCCAAGACGAACATTTTCAACAAACACAATTAGAGAATCATAATCTGGCATATTAGAAGAAGTAATAGCATATTCATCTTTTCCAAGCTTAATTTTTGAGTTGTTATTTAACAAATGTATTACTCCAGAACGATTATCTTCTAATTCGATGCATGAAAATCCATTTGCAAAACGATCATTCCAAATATCATTTTGAATATTGCCTAAAGATATTAAAGAGCGTGAATCTTTATCTTCAATTTCAAAATCTCCAATTAAGTTATCTTCGTTGATTTGCGATTCTGCAATATTCTCACTATTTTCCTTAGAATAAATTCCACTTAAAGAAATAAATAAAATAATAAAAAAAGTTAGGAATTCATTTATTTCCATGCTTAAACTTGTTTAAATTACACCAAATACCAATTTTAGTTTCTATAATACCTACTATTACCCAATACTTTCTATTTTCACAATTTCTCTTTGAATTGAACCTTTTTTACATCCTATAGTACCTAGCGATAATTTTTCATATTTTCTTATTGTGTTTAAGTAATTAAGGATTGGGAACATTTCATTAACGTCTAGCACAGTTTTGGAAAACTCTCCGATTAGTGCTTTAATTATGGAATTTTATTAAAAAAAAATAGTACGTAACGTTTGGTCAAATTTTCAAACAATTATAGTGAGGGTGTACTTAAAAGTTAATCATTTTAAAAATTAATTCAAACAAAATCAATAAAAAAGCCGTGAAAATAATCATATTTTTTGCTTTCGGTATTTGTGCATGCAATAATCTATTACTAATAGAAATAATTTGGAGTTTGGCGCGCCACATGTAAATATTTTACAAATTGAATTTTAATTTATAGTTTTTAAAAATACCCCAACTAAGCTGAATTTAGAATTACAAATATGAGCAGGTGAATAATTTTATTTTTGAATATTTAGATAAATAAAAACCATTAGTTATTTTCTGTTTTTTGAATGATCTGAAAAGAATGATGCACATACCACCCACACCTAGTTTAACAAAAAATCAAAATTTTTGTTTCAGAATTAGTTGATTTAATTATCTTTGAAATTAAAAAAGCAAAATTTAAAATGTGAAAACATAAATATATTGTTTATAATCTCTATTCTTTGGGTTCTCAAAAAATGGCTTATAACCATATTTCTTATAAATACAATAAATTTAAGATTTCGTCATAGTACGTAGACATATCTTCGAGTAATAAAAAAATATGAATTCAAACGAATTACAAATAAAGATTCTAAAAAGCATTTGATCTTTTATCTTTTTGATATTCATTTAATATTGGAATTTAAAATGGAAAGTAAGATTAAGGATTTAAGTCTGGCAGATTATGGTCTGCAGGATATGGAGATAGCTAAGACTGATATGATGGGTCTGGTAGAGTTACAGAAAAAATACAGGAATTCTAAACCTTTAAAAGGGGCAAGAATAACGGGGAGTTTACACTTGACAATAGAAACATCAGTTTTAGTAGAGACTTTATATGAATTAGGAGCAGAAATACGTTGGTGTAGCTGCAATATTTATTCGACTCAAGATCATGCTGCTGCAGCTTTAGTAAAAAAAAAGTTAGCAACCGTTTTTGCTTGGAAAAACGAAACAATTGAGGATTATTGGGCGTGTTTAAATAATGCAATGACATGGAGAGATTCAAATGATAAAGATAAGATTTGTGGTCCGAACTTAATTGTAGATGATGGAGGTGACGCAACTCTAATATTACATGAAGGAGTTAAGGCTGAGATGGAATTTGAAAAGCATAACAAGATTCCTGAATATTTGGAAAGTGAAGTGGATGAAAATGGTAAACAATTATCCTTGGATATAAAATGCATGTATAAAGTGTTAAAAATGGAACTAATAAATAATCCTCGAAAGTGGAGAGAAATGCTAAAAGACTTATATGGGGTGAGCGAGGAAACAACGACAGGAGTTCTAAGACTAAAAATTATGGAGTCTGAGGGGAAATTGTTACTTCCTGCTATCAATGTAAATGATAGTGTAACGAAATCAAAGTTTGATAATACCTATGGATGCAGACAATCTTTATTGCACGGACTCTTTAATGGATGTATTCAAATGCTTGCAGGAAAGAAGGTAGTAGTATTAGGATACGGTGAGGTTGGTAAAGGGTGTGCTCAAGGGCTTTCAGGAGTGGGGGCCAGAGTTATTGTAACTGAAATTGACCCAATTTGTGCATTACAAGCTTCAATGGAAGGTTATCAAGTGAGTATATTAGAGGATGTTGTTTCCGAAGCCGACATATTCATTACTGCAACAGGGAACAAAAATGTTATTACCCTTGAACATATGAGACAAATGAAGGAGAATGTCTATGTTGCAAACATAGGACATTTTGATGATGAAATAGATGTTTATGGACTTGAAAATTATCCAGGTATTAAGGTAAATGAATTAAAACAAAATGTGCATAGATACACTTTTCCAGATACACAAAAAAGCATTATATTATTATGTAAAGGAAGACTTGTGAATCTAGGATGCGCTACAGGGCATCCACCATTAGTTATGTCAATGTCTTTTACGAATCAAGTACTTGCACAAATGGACCTGTGGAAAAACAGAGATTTGATTGACAGGTCTAAAAATACCAACTTTTCTGTTAAAAAACTTTCCAAGGAGTTGGACGAATATGTCGCCAGGCTTCACCTGGATGTTCTTGGTATTAAACTTACAAAGCTTACGGAAGCTCAAGCTAATTATATTAATGTTCCAATAAATGGCCCGTATAAATCAGAAGATTATAGATATTAGAGATTTGAACATATTTCAAACAAGAAAAAAAATATTACCTGTATATTTAAAAATAATAATATAGAAAATAAACTGATTTTATACAACAAAGTAATCAAGAAGATAGATTGATAGGATTAATGTTCATTCATCTTCTCTTTTAAATTTACCTATTCCAACCCAACCATCTCCAAAATCATTTAATAACTTTGAATTCTTTTTCTTACTCTCAAAAAACTTATTACTCTCAGAGATCCTTTTCATCTTGATATTTGAATATGCTTTTCTTACTTGATTAACATATTCAGAAAGGTCATTACAAATCTTAGTTTCTTTTTTAGCCTTTTCTAACTTGTCCTTGATTTTTGAAGAAAATGAAGGAGGAGAGTCAATCACATCCCCAAAAGAAGGTCTGTTAGTATTGACTAAACTGAAAGTAGATTCAAGTTCACTATTTTCATTCAATTTTTTGTTCTTAAGTTGGCTTTTTTCTAAACTTTTCAATGCCCTTTTTTCTCTCTTTTTTTTGTTTTTCAAAGATTTTTGTAGTCTAAGAGCTTCTCTATCTTTTTCCATTAAATATTGTCTACTTTCAGAATCTACCCTTTTAAAAAAGTCACTCATGTTTTCATTCTTATAAGGTGTTAGTAGCTTCCTCTTAGGTTCTTTTTTTTTGTGTTTATACTTATTTTGAACAATCTTTAAAGGAAGCAGTTTTTCCGATTTATTTTTAGATTCACCGTTAAAAAAAACCACTTCACCTTTAAGTATCTGACCATCAATTAGCTTCATTTTATCTTCTTTTTTAAATCTTTTTTTCTGCATTAATCAAGAAAGAACGAAAATTATCTCTAAGTACGTGGGTTGGCGCCGGCGCCTCCTCACATTTGTCATTTTGACCATTAAAATATTACACAGCAAAAAAATGTGATCAGAAAGGATAAATAGATGATAAGTAAAGAAAAGGTGCTGAATGTGATAAACTAGAAAAAGCTATACTGACTAATTTATAAAGTTTTAAAATACATGAAATAAGATATAATAAACCAATATACTTGTATGTAATGATTAATATTTTATTATCTAAAAATTGCTTAAGGAGAATAAAAAACTTAAGATTTTGGGAACACACAAAGTGAGCTTTATAGAGATCAATTTACCTGAAAAGAATATTAATTAGCTAAATTTAAATTAGGAATGGCCTAGAATTTTTTTAAAAGCATTTTTGAAAGTGTTGAGTAATTAGCATAAATCTCTCTATAAAAGAACAGAAAATAAATTTAACGAAACACGAACCTAAAATTGTTCTAATTTTAAATGGGAGTTTTTCTAAAAAATAACGGATTTTTGAAAAAAAATACATTTGGGTCTTGTTATATAAAAATAAAAGAATAACACTTTTGTTAAAAGACATTTACCATTAGGTTGCAAATACAGAAATATTTCAAATAATAAAAACTCTAGTCAATAATTTGAGTTTTGTAAATTATTTGAGTTTTAGTTATAAATTTGGATATATAGGAAAGGATCGCGTTAGAAAACGTAATAACTGGAATTACGAATACAAAAAAAAACTACTGAAGAACTCGTGGTAACCTAAGCTTTGAAAGTAATCCAAATTCAACAAGCAAGAACCCATTTGATTTACCTTAAATGATTATTAAAATAGAAAATTTAATGATTGTTATTAAATGTAATTATACGATGAACCATTCTGGAAATCTAGAAACCAGAATCTTAACAAAGAGTTGATTTTCAATAACTTGAATATGAGCGGCTCTACCAATAAATGTATCGAGATTTTTCTGTGGAAGGTGGAAGTTAACATCGACTTTAACAATACGAGTAGGATCCACATCTTTTAACAAGCTTTCTACCATCACTTTGTAAACCGAAGGACCATCTGGAGAATATTCTGCTCTAGCACTATCATATGGTGCATACATATCTTGGTGAGAAGAACACAACACAATGTGTCTGAATTTTGAAAATAGTGCAGAATGTTCGGTTGCCAGTTTGTACATGAACGTTTCTTCATAATTAGGAGAATCAGAAAGTGCAAGCTGATTAATACATTGAGAACTACTCCATTTTCTCATAATCCATACGCCTGCATTGATAAGTTTCGAGTTATTTGAAATACATCCCAAGTGAGGAGCGCTCAAGGACCAATATAAATAGAACTGAGAACTAAACATATAGAGATGAGGAAGTGCTGCTCTTATTATAATGCCGCCAAGGGAATGACCAACAAAAGATAATTTTTTCAGTGACTTTGAAAATGGGGAAATTGCCGTAATAATTTCATCACTTAACCTTTTCCCCATTTCTTCAATTGGTCCATCTGTATAATCTTCATTACATGTACTGAGTAAGCATAGTACATCCGGATAATAGAGGGAAATTATATTTCTGACATTCCTCATATCAAATGCTGAGCCTTGGAGTCCATGAACAAATATCATAATGTGAAGATCTTTCGTTGATTCTTTATTACTTTCCAAAAATGGTGTTTCCGTCTTAATTATAGGTATTTTAGGTGCTTCATTGCATTCTTGAGATTCTTCTACTTTTTGTTCTTTTAAAGAAGCTTTTTTGTGTTTTTGTTCAATTTTTCTGTTGACTATATTTCTAGCATTAACAGCAGGATCATTATTAATTCCAACTCTGCAAAGTTGGCCACAGTGAATAATCGTACCACCTCCATAATTAATAAAAGGTTTAGAATTATCAATAAGAGAGTTATTGGCTACTGAATTTGTAGTTACTGTTGGTTGATTTGAAGCTTTACAGTAATTACTCAAGGTTAAAGAGTTTGAATATCTTTGTATAAACAAAATCGGAAGCCATTCATTATATTTAGAGCTTTTTAGGTGATCAATCGAAAGGGGATTTAACAAATGGTCGTCATTTGTTTCATTTTTAGTGTTTGAATTAACTTCTGAATTTGATGTAATTTCATGTAAAGGAGGAAGACATACCTCCTCAATTGCATTTGGAGTTGGTATTGACTTAAAGACAATATCATTTCTAAGTAAATCAGCCACTCTTGAATAATAATCAATAGGTTTCAATGAAAAAATGGTTGAGTTTTGAGAGCTTAGTCCCACACCACCTGTTAGTAAAGGAAATATTGAAAAAAACCCACTACTTTTTTTGTTAAGCTGACCATGATTAGGTAGATTGTTAGGTGGAGGGGATGAATTTACTGAAAGCATAACAGGTGGTGTGATTGGAAATGATCGGTTGCCTAAGAATTCTGGAAACTTGACAGACGGTTCTGGCTTTAATGATGGAGAATATAATTCATTGGCTGAAAGAGTCTCAAAAAATATTGTTTCATTCCATAAAAACATAGTTTTCCTTATATGTTCCATTTTACACGTCTGCTCAAGTTTGTGCAATACAAAAGGTAGAACAGCAACTAATCTATTCCAAGTCTCAAAAATTTGGAATGAAATTTGCTCCAACTCTAAATTGATCTTTTGACTATATTGAGCAATTCCAAATGGTGCCTCAACTACATTTTGGAATGGCAAAATCGATTCGTGGGAGATTAAAGGATCTGGAGTAATTATTTGTGAAGCCGGACTTCTTTTAAAAATGGGAGGCGTAATACCTCTAATATAATTAAGTTGCCAGTTTAGAGGTGTTAAAGCCCATATAGTTGTTGGTAATTTAACCAAACATAGAGCGGAATCAGAAAGTCTTTGCTCAGGAAGAACTCCTATAGAGCTTCCATCACTTGCTATAGTTAGAGAATGTTTGAATTCATTCGCCTCTTTAAGCTGAATTTCTGAGCTAATTCTGGAAATTTGGTGTTCATCGATCTGATCAATCTGTTCTCTAACTACATAAAATGGCACTGACGCACCATTTTCTTCATAAATTACTTCTGAAAGGTCAATAAGAGGCTCAACATTTAACCTAGACCCACCTGGTAATTTTAAACTTGGGATTACTAAAAATGATCCCATCAATTTGGCTCTCTGTGCGCTACAACATTTCTTTGTAATATAGTACATATTAGCAGCTAATTGAAGGTAAACATTTGTCAAAGATGCAATTAGCTCAAGTCTGAGTTTTGAAGCTTCAATAAACATGGGATCTCTAGTAACTGTGGATGGAAAAACTTCGTCAACCCCAATGCTAGCCTTTTGATTACTACATTTACTTTTTTCTTCAGTGCTCTGTATATTATCACATCCACTTGGGAGTTTATTATTAATATTTTTCTCGTATTCGGTCGATTCAGAAGGTTGACTGATTTGCTTTTCTTCCAAAACCACATTTTTGTTTGTTTGTAACTCATCTGAGCCTTTGGTATTATCTTGATTGTCTAATTCTTTTAAAGATTCCGTAAAAATTTGAGCCATTTTTTGGATAAGTATTCCCCTAATAGTAAAAGAACCAACCTGTGGCTTAACTATAGTGTTTTTGGGATAGAGACCTTTATTTTCATCTTGCTTAAAGTTTTTATTCACACTCTTTAACTGATTCTTAACGTTTAATTCTAAATTTTCTTCACTTTTATTAGTGGATAGAAGAAATAAAGGAATTACTGGAAGAGGCTTGGTAGAAGAAAATCTTGGAATGTATTTGGTTTTATTTTCAGAGTAATGGGAGTCGCAAGAAGCAAAGATTCTAGTAATTTGACTCAAAATCAAACAGTTTGTATTACAAAAATGGAATTCGTCAAATATTATAGGCAGATATTCCACGATTCCATTTGCAACGTTATTAATCCTATACACATTATAGCACAGAGACGAAAATTCCTCGTCTTGAGGTTGGTCATATTTCTGATTTTCACCATTTGAATCATTAGATATTGAGTCTAAATCAGGGAGCAGGATTGACTCCGAATTCTCAGAATACAACAAATCCACCTCTAAGAAAAAAGGAGCAATGTTTAGTTGACTGTTTGCAAATGTACTTTGAAATATTTCGTTTGAATCTGTTTGGTTTGAATCACTAAAAAACGATAAAAATGGCTTGGTACTTGGAACTTTCAATTTTACGTCACTAGTAAAAATGATTGTCTCATTTAACTCTGCTATATCATCTATATAATTAATCTGAAAAGGTCTAGATAAGATAGACCCATCTTCCGAAATCCCCTCCCACTTTAGATCTAACTTTTGCTGCTTGGAATAAATAATTTTTTTGGGAATAGCACTATGCGCCACGCCATCATTCAAAAAATATAATCTACTCCTTAGTCTATAAAATCCACTCTGTAGTAGATCAATATTTCTGAACTTCCCAAAGCTTAAAGCAAAGCTTACAGTCGCAAATAGCGACATCTTTCTTTAAATTCACTCCCTCTGACAACAACTAGTATATTCTCAACTAATAACTAGTTATTTTTATACCCTATTATTTATTGTTGTACATATACATTTACAAACAGACTTATTTGTAGATATAGTAGTATCTATTAATTTATATTTTATTTAAATACATCAATTCTTCTAGCATTACATGATCAATTCAGCCATAACCTTTAAATTCAAAATTTTAAGTTAATAATTCTCTTTTTGTGGCCTAATATTTATTAAACTAATTCTAGATTTTATTATTCTGCATTTTGCGTCTGGTCTTAAATTGTGCTCATTGTATGAATTTTTCTAAGCTTAAAGTAACATTAAATATAAAAAATAAAAATAACATAGATTCTTTTTATCTATTAGAGATTCACTTGTATATTTAAAGCTTTCTAGGTATTTAAATTGTTTTTACATAATATTGTTTCAAAGACTAATTAGATATTTTATAGGTTCAAGTGGACACACTCTGTTGACACACGATAATAAATAGTGAAGCTAAAAAAAAAGCGGAAATTTTTGTCGAGCATATTATTACATCAATACGTGTATTAATCTGAATAACCAAATAAATTAAAATGAATTTAAAGTTTGAAAAAAAGTACTTATTTTAGTTTGAAGGAGGATGTGGGAAGAAATGGCGGGGACATGATAAAGAAATTTTTAGGTAGATAGCATATTGAGTAGTAAAGTTTCACATAGAGATTAGTAACCTCACATTATAAATGCCTATTTGGGAAGATTTCTAAACAATGATAATAATTAATTGAATATTCTCGGCTGGCTGGCATGTAAATTGGAAGAAAAAGGAATATTGTGCCGCCAAACCACCCCACTATTTTAAAAATTTGAGTTTTAGGACATAATGAGAAAATTACGGCGAGGATAAGGTAGAAATAAAACAGGGTATATTCTCTTTTTTTTTGATGAGAGAATTTTGACAGGTTAAGAAGGACCCCAAATACATTCTAACGAAGAGCCAGGAAGCAATAAGTTATAAATTAGTACATACTGGAAGTTGAGGGGAAAAGTTAACAATTAATATTTTTGGTTTCAGAAATAGTGAGCCAGGTTTGATGTTAAAATATCTCAGGGAATTGTTCTTTGGAAAATTTGGATGAGAGAGTAGAAATAAACAGTTTTTTTCAGTAGTGTGAATAACCAGCTTGAATTAATATCTAAATATCAATATACTTCTTCAGGGGTGAAACCCAGAAATTAAGCCTAGCTGACCAGAATTAGAGGTTGACTAAATTGTTTTCAAAATGGTATCACAAATTTCATCTCCTTTAACAAATACTACAGTATGTTCAATATGGAAAATAGAGCGACTAATTGGGGGGGGAAGCTTTGGGGATATCTATTTGGCAGTTAATACAGAAACTAATGAGGAAGTAGCAATTAAGGCGGAGTCAACAATGTCTAGACATCCGCAATTAATATACGAAACAAAAGTTTTAAAGCTTCTGCAAGGAGGAGTGGGTATTGCAAATGTCTATCATTGTGAATTAGATAGGGAAGTAAACCATCAGATAATGGCAATGGAGCTTTTGGGCCCATCTTTGGAGGATTTGTTCAATTTGTGTCATAGAAGATTTACAATGAAGACTATTTTGATGATTGCTGACCAGATGCTTCAGAGAGTAGAATATATTCACTCAAAAAATTTTATCCATCGGGATATTAAGCCCGATAACTTTTTAATTGGGCGTGGGAGGGGGTCTCGAAATATTTATGTTATTGATTTTGGCCTTGCTAAGCGCTTCCGAGATCCAAAAACACTACAACATATTCCATACAGAGAAAATAAGAATTTAACTGGGACTGCTAGGTACGCTTCTATTAATGCTCATCTAGGAATCGAACAAAGCCGAAGAGACGATTTGGAGGCAATAGGTTATGTGCTAATGTATTTTTGTAGAAATGGGACTCTTCCATGGCAGGGAATTCGCGCTAATAATAAGGAAGAGAAGTACAAAAAGATTATGGAGAAGAAAATGGGTACATCGGTTGAAACTTTATGTAAGAATTACCCTCCAGAATTTGCAACATATTTGCACTATTGTAGAGTCCTCCGTTTTGAAGATAGACCAGACTACACTTACTTAAGAAAACTTTTTCGTGATTTAATGCAAAGGGAAGGCTATGCTGACGATGGGGATTTTGACTGGACCAAACTAGAATCTAATGGGAATAAAAAGCTTGAGACATCTACTAGTATTCAAACAAATAATTATGTAAAAACTACTGGTAAGTCCCTGGTTCCTCAAATACAACACAATATTTCTCTAGATAAAAATATATTTGATCAAAAAAAACAATCTAAGAATCATAAAAAGTACATAAATTCATCATCCTCCAGAAAGGCTAATAATTCAGGTGTTCCTGCAAATTCAAGTAATATTCAACGAGAATGTTCTCCTTTAGAACAAAAATCTGGTGTCGAAAATAAGGGAAATAAAAACCCGAATGACACAGCAAACAGTAATATTTATAATAAGCTGACTTCTGCAAACAGTGGCAAGAAAATTTCGGATACTGGAGATCATAATCAAGATCAGACTCTAAGTTTGAGTCCTAATCCGACTTTAAACAGAAACAATTCAAAAGCTAGGAATAAAGTTAGTAATGGTTATAGAAATACAAAGTATCAAGACACAGTATCGTACGAACACAGAGGAAAATCTAAAAAAACACAAAAGCCTTCCAGGCTGAAAAGAGGTTTTTGTTCTTGTATTAAAATTGAAGGATAAGGTTCAAGATTATATTCGAATAAGAAGGTATTGGTCTGATAAATTCTGATAAAATACACATTTTCTAATGGTATTTCTCTCGTGTTATTTTGATCCGACCTCGATTTTCCTTTTTTTCTTGAATTCCCAGACTATATATTCTTAGAATCATTATCTCGAAAATCTTTTATAGTTCGGATCATTTTACTCATGATTTTTTTTTCATGAAAAAATTAAGAAAATTACCATTAGTTCTGACAGGACCGGAACTCACTAAATTAATGTAAATTGAGACAATTGTCTGATTAATATAGTTATTTTGAAGTATAAAACCCAATCTACCTTTGAGCTCTTAATGGGTGTTAACTTTTATTTTGTTACTTCATTTGTGACTAAGTTACTGTTTATTGAGTGCATTTTAAGCAATGATCTGCATTTCCTTAAACTTCAGATCTCGGAACAGAACTTTGTAGTGAAGTGTGTTGGAGTAACAATGGTTATCACTAGCCCATTCTCACGGGTAAATTGATGTATATTTGTTCAAGTTAATATACTACACAAAATTATCCAATATACTAATAAGCTATTATAGTAATAGCTACATAAAACTTCGGAACAACACTCTAAAAACATTGCTTGTGGTATACAGTTGTTCTAAGATGTTTGGTATTCTAATATTATTATTTTCACTTATATTTGCTGTAAATATATCTTTATTTGTTTTTAAATATTTTTATTATTAAATATTAAAATCTTTAGGCGGTAAAGGTTTTAAATATAGAGGCCACACAAAGCTAAATATTTCTTTTTTTGTCAAAATAAATGACAAGAGTAAATACAGGATATTATGAATCATTATTAGAGACTGACGCATCTACTCTAAATGAAGCTGATACTGGATTATTAATCGCGGATGACATTTTCATGTATAATGAAGTAAATTACTTAAATAACTGTTTAATTATACTTTTGTTCATATCACACTGTTTTCATATCTTCTTATTTGAAGGTGACATATCTCCATCTATATCCAGGTTTAATATGGATTATAATGGAGTTTTTGCATTAATATTGAATATCTTAATTCCGTCTATATTCTTTATACAAGGCTGGTTAAAGGCTTTGGAAGTACATAATTACACTTCATTCTTCACACGTCTTCATTTTGAATATTTATTGCCGATTTTTATATATTTCATGTTTTATTTGATAAGTATTTTGTTTAAAAATGATACTCGATTAGGAAATTTAACAAGCGAGGAGTTTGCAACACTTATATCTCAATCGTGCTCTTTTAATCCCGGATTTCTATCAACATTTGTAATATTATTCATAGTAAATTTGACTTTGGATCCTATAGCATTGGTAGTTGTTCCAGATTTCTATAATTCAGATGTTTTAATATCTTTTACAGTAGATATTTCGTCAACAAATGAGTTTAATATGGATGAAAACAGTATATTAAGTAGAAAAAAGGAAAAGAAACACTTTTCAAATTTGAAAAAATTTTCAATCTATAAACTGATTTACTGTCTATTAATGGTAAAATTCTGCGACCAATTTTTAAATTTTTTGAGTGGTATGGAGCCTACACAAATATTATATAAACCAAAAATGCATAATTTCTGGTCAGTATTACTATTATTTTTATTATGTAAGATTTTCAGGAAAACACCAAGAACTCTTTATTATATTTACTTAATCTCAACTTCTATTGAATTAATGACTTACCCATTTTTTGAAATATATATTAATAACTACTTTTCCACAAGTTTAATTACAACCATTTGTTTTCTATCAAATATATACTTGTCAGGAATTCTAATTTCCTGTATGCGTCTGAACATATTTAATAAGTGGACAGTTTCAATATTTTTTATTTTAATTTCAGCACTTTGCTATTTTATCAATGTAAATCATTTAAGATCAGTGATTTCCCCAATCATTTGCCCTTGTATTTTAAATATTAATTCAAGATTTCTCACCATTTTTCAAATTTATTCATCAGTTTTTGCTATTATAGGCTTATCATTTCTAATATTCAAGTACATTAAAGTGGATTCTGATAGTAAATCGAGAAGTTCAAACAAATTAAATTTCACAGTATTATTTTTTTATTCAGTAATATCGTGCATTAATTTAATCAAGTTAATGGAATAAACCCCGTATGATGGAGACGAATAAACAACTTTATTTTGAATTTGTTCCGTCTATTCTTGAAAAAAGTCCTTTTACAAGAATCAATTGAAATTGAATATAATCATGTGTTAAAGAAAAGAAATGATAAACCATTAGGTACATTTACGTTTCATGGAAAACATAAAATTCAGACATGAAGTGATTTGTTGTTTATAATAAGCATGGAGTTTTATATAGTGTAAAAATTAAATGTTTTAAATATTTGTGTTTCCGACAATAAAATTCCAAAATAATTCTTCGATAGCAAACAATTGAAAAATTTTATGGATAGTTTAAATGAGTAGAGTACTCAGCTTTCAAGAAATAAAGTTTTAGTTTCTACAGCAGGAAAATTTTCTGCATTTTTTAGGGTTAATTGAATTATGTTTAGAAATGTTTTCAGTTCTTCTTAAAGGGACTGATACTTGTTCTACATCTTCAAGAGCTTGAAGTTTTGATTTAGTTATCTCAAGTAATTCTTCGAAATTAGTTTGAATAATAATCCTAGATTTCCATGGTCTGTTTGTAAAAAACCACCTATTACTATATACGGAATACCCACCACAAACGTTGTAATAGTGGCTATCTTTTGAATGAATACTACAATCATCAATATCAACAAAAAATACTGTATTATTAGCAACAATAATGGACATGTATTCGCCTGTATTTAATTTTAAGAATAATGCAGTTGGGCTAGTCCCAACTGAAAAATGAGGGATTTTTAATTCTTTGATCCGGTCCATATTTTTGGCTAAGATGCTTAAAGGTTTAATGCTTTTAATGTTATTTGGATATAAACTATCATCATTTGCATCCCAATTATCTGGAGGTAAATTAATAAAATTTCTATTTTTAAATTCATAAGGGAGAATTTGAAGTTTATTATAATCAGAATTGACTTCAATAATTAGATTCCATGGGGAATTTGTGTTAGAAAGTTCTCCATTAGACTTGATTAGAAGAAGTTTGTTTAATAAGAAAACTTCATCTTTATAAGTTAGAGTGACTAAACCTAGCTTGCCTCTTAATGTAAAATCAATTGGTTTTGGGACAAAGAGACCAAGAAAACTTTTATTTGTGGTATCAAAAAATAAATAAAGTGTATTTTTAAATTCATTTCGTCTATAGAAATTACCGGAAATTATTCTGCAGGTCTGTTTTTTATTAGTAATTACAGTAACAAGACCAAGGTAACCTGTTGAATCATCATATTCTACAATTTGACTATTCGAGTATAAAGATTGATCTTTATAAATTGAAGAATTTCTTAAAATGGACTGGTCATCGGTAGAATTAGAGTCTTCATCAGATGACACTAATTCAGATTCGGTAGTAGATGAACTTTGTACTTTTGAATGGTCATTGGGAATTGATTCTGTTTCTTTTATTTGAGACGAGTTACATATTTTATTAGTAAATATAAGAGCAAAAAAAACAAAGAAGATTTTGGTCTTTAGTCTCATTTTCCAATTGCTTATATTCCCTCTATTTTTAATTTGACCGGCCTTTTGCACAATTATTTCTCAGAACCAGCTTAATATTAAATAGAGCGCAACACAAACCTCCTACTTTAGTTCAAGATCGACAGATTTGCACTCTTTTTTTGCAATTAATGTCTTGATGATCGAAGTAATCAATTTTTTTTGACTTAATTTTTTCGTATACAAAATTCACAATTTAACATTTGGCGGGAACTTTGGAGAATTTGTCAAAATAAAAATAAACAGTTGCAAATTATGACTAACTAGAATTCACAAATTATTGTTAATTTTTAAATTAATTTCAACAGATAATTATTACCTTTAAATATTTATTTTTAGATTTATTTTATTGCATACTGTTTACTATAATTCTATATTATTGGCAGAATAAATATGATAAGAAATGATTAATATGCAATATAAAAGAAATGAATATAACTTTTATTTTTTTATATCAAAGATTGTGATCTGCTATATGATTTAACCTAGATATTATTTAATTGTTTTTTATTGTCTTTAGAAAACTATTACGATAGATTTTGAATTAGAATTTTTTCTTTAATAGAAATCATTAATATTTGTTGAACACTTTAAATAATACTTTAGATGGCTTCACAAATCAGGATATTCAACTGCAAACTTCTAACTAGCCTTGCTAAGATTGAAAATCATAAGCATGATGCTTCATTTGATGTATATATTTACATCACTCATATTTAAATTAACGTTAAAAAACTACCAAACATTTAATTTCTACTTACGATATAATTTTTTCGGAGTTCTAAATTTATTACTTTTTTTGTCAGTGGCTTATTTTTAAGATTTAACGGTTTAGGGTTTTAGGGGTTTAGGTTAGGTTT